CCATAATAATCTGATAGCACATTCCATGATCCATTGGACATTTCTTGACTTGGCTTTGATTTTTATTTGTTTATTTTTTGCAAAATTTTTATGGGATTTGTGGTTTCCAGAAAAAAATATTTCACGGTTTTTTTGCAAAAATATTTGTTTTTGTTTTTTTGGGAGATTTCAGTCATTTTTCCAAAACGAGCACACGATCATTTTCGTATGAATCGAATTGATTTTTTTCCGTGCAACAGAAACTATTTTCAATCACTTCTGCTCTAAGAAAAAAAGGTATTTCTTTCCTACATTTATTTATAATTCATGCTCCGATTCGATTTGNCTCCGATTCGATTTGAGAATTTCATGAGAAAATCGAACGTGCAAATTACCCGCGTAAAATAACCTCAGAAATAAACTCGCCCACATGTTATTCACGGACTGAGTTGAAAATCTAAATTAATCGAGGATAGGGGACAAATTTCTATCCAATATACAGCGCTATATGACCTTGTTCATCAATTTTTCATTAATTTTTACAATAAGTCGATGATGAGTCTAAAAAATGCAAATCAGTAGAATTCAAGAAGGAGAGAGAAAGAGTAATGCGCTATTCAAATCTCCCTCCTCTGCGCGTGAGGTTGGAGCGCACTGCTACCAACTTCGAAGACGAAATCTCACACTGCTCTGAGATAATCACTGAAATGTAGTATATACTGGAAAGGGCACTGATCCGCCTGACGCGAGCCGACAGAGAGGGGCGATTACTACATTTCAGTGGAGATAATGGGAAATGCGAGAATGTGGATATGATCCCGTTGCTATGCGTGTAATTTCCTTAATATTAAGTCGAAAAAGAAAATAGTGATATCAATGGAAAGCTCGTGGCCGATTTATGTGATGTAACTAAGGCTTTTTTTTCGTAGGGTATAACGTTTTCATTTTATTCAATAAATGTGTTTCGGTGGTAGTGGAGGGGGTAGTTGCTTCGTGCATAGATACGCGGTGGGTTCGGCCTGATGTTTTGCTCAGTCGGTCAAAACTTTTCTTGGCCGATACGCTATCGCGTATCTCGATCTTCTGAACATTGTATTGAGGAAAAAATTCAAGCGCCCCACGTCCGCAAAAATAGTTTGTGAGCCACGCCGAGGAAAGTGCCGTTCAATGGACGACGTGTTAGCAACGCTCGCCTTCGGCTCGCGCTGCTAACATCACGCCGTTCCTTACAATGGCACTTTTCTCGGCTAGGCGCACAATATACTATTTAGGTAATCGATAAACCTAATCTACGGAACATGAAATCGGGACGATTTGGGCTCTTTAGAATCATTCTAACCCAACTTTTGAGGACAATTTTTTTTTGGTGCATACGACCATATTCCATAAATGTTTTTCCAACAGTATAAAAATGGAAAAAAAAATATTTTCACTGTTTTGTTCTCATTTTTTCAATAACTCCAGTCGTACTTTTAAAGAAATGAACAT